AGCAAATAACTTAACCAAGCTAATTGATGCTTCTGATTTGTTGCACATGAATTCTCATCCTCACTACCAAAACTAATTGATGAAAAATGCTCCTTAATACTACTTCTTGTTGTGATCACTACTTGTAATGTTCTTATTGACCTCTAATCTTGCTGCTCCCTCAATATTGGAGCTTGATCTTGTAATTTTTACCTCTATTTATATAATAGACCTTTATGTTATTGTTCAAAATTTTAAGAGACATCAAATACTATTAAAGGTTGAAAATTTCAAGAGTTACAAAAGATTTGTATTAAACATGAAAATAATAAACTTTTAATGAAATTTAAGGTTACAAATAAGGTACCTAAGCAACCAAAAAACTCTCTCTTATTTGTAGAATTGATTATATATATATATATATATATATATACACACACACACACTTATTTATTTATTTATTGTATATATAACTCCCGTGAAACAAACCGTTCAAGTTCTTCCTATCATCCCATAGGTCTCATTCTCTCTGGGTGTGTTTGGTAGGGTTGATTTGGAGGGATAGGGAGAGAAAAAAAAAGAGAGGATAGTGTAAGTTTGTGTTTGGGTAAGTTAAGTGGATGGATAAGGAGAGATAGGGAGGGATAGCTATCCCTCCTTATCTCTTATTTGCTTTCTCTTCAATTTTGAGAAGATAGGGAGAGAAAGGATAGTGATTTTAGTGGTATTTTGATAAAACCAAAATTAGCCTCCACAAATCAATACACAGATTTATTATTCCATTCAAGTCACATGGTTATGAAAGGGTAAAAAAGTAATTTGTCTACTATCATTTCTTTTCTTTCCTTCCTCTATCTTATCCAAACAAAAATAACTATCCTTTCTTTTCTTTTCTTCCCTATCTATCCAAACACAAATAAAAATTATTATTATCCTTTCTTTTCTTTTCTCACTAATACGATCATTTTTTTCCTCTCATAACTAATACTATCCAAACAGACTATCCAAACAGACCCTCTTTCTTTCAAGCTTTATTTTCTCTCTCTAGAATCAGAGGAAACAAACATGCCCACTACTCAAGCTATTTCTCTCTCCTCTCTCTTGGTTTCTTCCTCATTATCTCAATTCTCATACTTTTCTCAAAACAAACCCATCTCTCTGCCTGTGCATCTGTTTGATCATATTAGCGTGGGTGTAAGGAATTGATGGACATTGTTATCTATCATATAAATTTACAAAATTACTAAATAGAACTTTATCTCGATTTGATTAAAAGAAGGAAATTGGGTGTAGTGATCCAGGCAGGAAAAAAAATTGATTAAAAGAAGGAAATTGAGAGAAAGTATTCCTAAATTGGAATGATTCACAAAAGGACTAATTAAATTAGACATACCACTGGAGGCATCGTCTCCTCCGGCGACGGCAAATTTTCTGGCATCGGCGCTGACAAGTATGGTACAAGCCGAACACTCCCACTAGAATGTACCAGGTAGGGTTTCGAGCTTGACGACGAGGCAGCTCACGTGCCACGTCGTGACGCACGTGTTACAGGTCAGCTTCTCCTCGTCCGGTGGCTTGTTTTCGCATAGCGTGAAGTTTGCTATCGTGTGCCATTGGTAGCGCTGCGCACTGTCTATAGATTGATTGAGGCTATTTTCGGAATAACAAATATAAATTTATACCATCTGTTTCGGCACATGTTCCTCCAGAGTATTTTGGTTACTAAATTTTGATAGCCAAAACACTTGTTAACCGCGTTAACGGAAATTTGTAATCATGTTGAAGTTTTAACAAACAAGTTAAAGTTTTACAATCAAAAAATAAAAATAGTGGAGGTTTTAAGCCCTTAATAGTATATATATGTGTGCGTGTGTTTTGTTTTATTTTTTTTCTTCTTGTTTTTTATTTATAATAATAAATTATGTATGAATCATTATATGCTCTTAATCACTTTTAGAATAATATTTTTTATATTATTAAAGTGCTATTAAAGTGGTTTAAATGTATATGCATTAAAAAAATAAATTAAAATTGTTAAAAAATTCTCTATACTTTTAGAATAATATAGATATAGATATAGATAGCTATAGATATACATATAGATAGATATTATTATTATTTTATGTTCACACGCTAAAATAATATGTTATATGGATTCAATTACTTTATCTTGACTTCTACACATAAACTCTAACCCCTAACCATGACTCTGCTACCAATTGTTGGGATTTAATAAAATAATCTAAATGTAGAAATCAAGAATACTATAATTAATTAAAGAGAGAATTTAGTCTCGTATCTGATTGATGATTAAAGTATAAATATCTTTAAATTTTGAAGGATAACCTTAAAATTCTTTGTGATCTTATAAAATTTTAGAGTACTTTACTCCTAATTAAAAGTTGTCCTTCGATAAGGCGGGCCGACCTGACCAAGGTAGCGATTTTAGAGGGTCGCCCACGGATCAAAATCATCTTCAGCGCAACAGGGAATATGTCCCAGCCTATGAGTGATATGTGGACACCATTTTGCCACGTCAGTTAGTCAAAGAATAGAAAAGAAAGTAAATCAATTTTTACTGAAGACGTATTAGTGTATACATACAAAGTTTGCCACGTCACTTAGTTAAAAAAGATAAAAGAGAGTAAGTCAGTTTTTAGTGCATATATACAAAATTTATACATTCCAACTTTCTCCTTAACAACATCCCAATATTTTATTAATGTACATCCCAATATTTTCTTAGAATACGGTCTACTATTCATCTATTTCTCTTGTTAAGGAAATGTTTGGATCGTTTGTCTTGCATCGCAATATTTTCCTAACGTACATTCTAATTTTCTCCTTATTAGCATCCCAACATTTTTCTAACATGTATTCCAAATAAGATAAATCAATGAATAGTGTGATGTTGGTAAGGAGAAAATTGGAGATGCTGGTAAGAAAAAAGTTGGGATGTAGGTAAATCAGTTTTTAGTGTAAATATACAAAGTCTATACATCCCAACTTTCTCCTTAATAACATCCCAATATTTTCCAAAATTCTCCTTACTACCATCCCATCATTTTTCTAATGTACATCTCAAACAAGATAAAGCAATGAATCGTGTGATGTTGGTAAGGAAAAAGTTGGGATATTAGTGAGGAAAAAGTTGAGATGTAGCTTAGGTTAGGAAAATGTTGTGATATACAATTTATACTAAGATATGTTTATTTATGTATTTGTACAATAAGTGGGATGTTGGTGATGAAAAAGTTAGGATGTAAATTAGGGAAATGTTGTGATGTTAGGGAAATGTTTGTATTGAGAGAAAAAAACAGAGTAAAAAGTTGGTCTGGTTTTGATTTGGTCTCATACGTATGTGTGTATGTATATACAAAAATTTTGTTTTTTAATTTTTAACTTTTACGATTTTAACTCATTGGCTGTAACCGGTCCTACTGTTGTGCAGAAGAGGATTTTGATCCGGTCGGCCGCAAGGGATGGAGAAATTAAAAAAAAAACATGTTAGGGCAAGTCTCAAATTTTAGTGGGCCTCAAATTTTTAGGCCCATAGGATATGGTAAAAAAAAAAAAAAATTTTTTTTTTTTTTGAGCTAGGGCAAGTTTTTCAGACTGCACAATCTGCTTCGACACTCCGCAGGACGCAGCCTCCGCTAGGTGACACCGTGACAAGATATGTTCATCCTCTCTCTCTCTTCTCTCTCCTTTTGCATGAATCGATCTTTTTGTTTTCCTCTCCCTAAGTCCACTCCAGTCTCACAACAGCAGCAACCATACCCCTTTTCCTCATAATTTTTTGCATTTTCACATTCAATCCTACGAAAATTAAGGATCCCTTCTGGGTTGACCTGAGGTAATAATTGACTTTTTCGATCTCTAAATTATGCTCATACTTTTGTTTTTTTATTTTATTTTTATATGAAGATACATGCCACCATTATTGATGTTATTTGAAGTTGGCTCAGCTAGAATTTCATTTAATAATACTGTCAAAGGCTCAAAGTACTTGCGCCATCAGAATGTACAAACACATGGAAAACAAGAGCGGGCTTTAACAAAACAAAAGTTCTATTAATTTGCACAGGTCTTCTGTAGCAATGATCAATCAATCACTGCTACTAAAGTTGATTCCTCATCCTGAAATCAAGAGAGGGGTAATTGGCTCCCAAAAAAGACACACAAAAATACACACAAAGCTCCCGTGAAAACTCCAGCCAGTAGATCATTCGACCAAACTGCTTGATTTTAGATTTTTTTAATATTATATTTATTGTATGATCGGCAATGCTTAGTTATTTCCGTTTGATTCTCCATCCGTTTTATGTTAATTGTGATTTATCAAAAAAAAAATAAAAAATGTGATATTCTTTCACGTGTTAGCAGGACACTCTTCTTAGCATCTCGTGAGGTTATTTGCCTTGAACATTTACTTTGATATAAAGTTGAATTTTGATTTTTCTGACTAAGTTGCGTTGAATATTTCCTTTTAATTTTTTGATGTAAATTGGATCATGCCCTTTTTAAAGCACCAAGACCGGGTTTTCTTTTGCGTGTTTTCAACATTAATATATTTTGTGTTCTTATCATCTCATATTAATTAAAATTTCGCATAACTTTTTTGTGCCTGTTAAAATTTTGCATAACTTTTTTGTGCCTGTTAAAATTTCGCACTCTTTAGTTGATAGATTTATTGTTATTAGTTACCTATCTTATGCACACTGTATAGGCTCACAGTTATTTATTGGCGGTGATGGATTTATAGTTATTAGTTAGTTGTATTATGTAAACTGCACAAGTGCACAATTATTTATTAGTGGTGATAAAAATTTATAGTTATATATAGGGCTGCAAATGAACCGAGCCGTTCATGAACAGCTTGGGTTCAGCTCGTTAAAAGCTCGGCTTGGGCTCGTTCATTTAGTAAACGAACCAAGCTTGAACAATGTTAAGCTCGTGAGCTCGTGAGTTGGCTCGTTTACATATATATATATATATATATATATATATGTTATATTTAAAAGTAGCCCATATATATAAATCTAGCCCAAATTCATAGATATTTTTATTGACTCAATTAGTATTTGGGCATTTGGAAGCCCATTTAATTAAGTAGCCCATTTAGATCTAAATTCAACTCAGCCATTAAGTAGCCCATTTAAATCTAAATTCATCTCAGCCATTGGATTCACCTTATAATATCTTAAGGGTAGATTAAAAAAAACCCTCAGAAATAGCCGCAACATGTTGAAACCATCTTCTCCAATCCCACTGACATATTGCAACGGAAATCCACCGTCCTACTTCGTCCTTCTACTTCTCAGGTGACTGTCTTATACTCCTAAGCAACATCAAGTTAGGTTTATCTATCTCTCTCCTCCCCCCCTCTCTCTAGCTTAATAATATTGTTATAGATCTGATAAATCATTTATGAAATTGAAGTTGGTGAAGGAGACTCAAGAATAGAGAAGAATGTTTAATATGTGAAGTACTGATGGTGGTGTTTTTCCAGATCCAAAAAGGTTCCCCGATTTGATAGATAGTATATACATATATGTATATATATTATATATACACAGCCACATACGAGCCCGAACCGAGCTGAGCTCAAGCTCGTCAAAAAATTACCGAGCAGAGCTCGAGCAACTCTCTGACTTAGACGAGCCGAGCCTGAGTAGCCCAAAGCTCGGCTCGGCTCATTTGCAACCCTAGTTATTAGTTAGTTGTCTTAAGCACACTGCACAGACGCACAATTATTTATTGGTGGTGATAGATTTATAGTCATTAGTTAGTTGTCTTATGCACACTCTATAGGCGCACAATTATTTGTTGGTGGTGATAAATTTATAGTTATTAGTTATTTGTCTTATGCATAATGCACAGACGCACAATTATATTAGCTAAAGAATTTGAAAATATCGTGTGAAAATTCCGCACTCATATAATTTTTTTTGCGCGTGTGAAACTTATGGGACTCACATTTGAAAGTTCGCCTAGGGCCTCTCAAAATATTTGAAATCTCAGGGCCGGCCCTGGATAGGGTTGTTAAAACCCTTATATATAACAATAATAGGGGGACGACTTCTCCACAAATAAACATACCTAAGACTCCTTTTCTGTCATGGAAACTTAGATATCAATTGTTAGAATTAAATCATACCAAATAAGTTGGAAAACCACAATCCAACGATATAAAACCATACTCCCAATTAGACAACCCACTCCATCAAGTATAAATAAACACATTGCAATTCTATTTTAGAAAACTTAATGCATAGGACCATAAAATAATTTTTATTATTTATATATAAAAATTTCCAACAATACTTTCTCAATTTTGTAAGGTGGTGAAATGAAAGAAGACAGGCATGTAGAGATGGGGAGATTAGTTTCGTCCATTTAAATGACCTAGAAAGATTAAAATAGTAAATTTATGATTCCAATAGGTTAATTTACAAGTCGGGTAATAAAGCCAATTTAAGCAGGTGATTGTAAGGGTGTCATTGTTAATTTTACCAAATCTGACGGCAATTGGACCGATTGGTTCACAAGCATCCAAATATAACTAGGTGTAATAGAGGAAAACCACAAGAAAGAAGTCAGCGTAATTTACTCAAATTATTTTTAAATAATAGGAGTAAAAGGAAAAAAATAATAGCATTAGTATAAAAACAAAAAAGAGAAAGGAATGAATAGTTTCACCTTTCATCTGATTCAATTGGTTGATTAATAAATAATAAAAAAAAAAGAGAAAGGAGGTTTACTGTGTTATTAAGTATTTTTTACTCAAGAAATAATTACATTATTATAAAGATAGAAAGAGAAAGGAATGAATAACATACTAATTATATTTTTTTATTTTTATACTAGTGTCATTATTACAATTGCGAGAAAATGAAGGACAAATTATTCTATTTTATAAGCAATAAAGGCATTTTGAAATATACTTATTATAAAAAATATTAAAAAAACACATAATTATTACACTTATTATTTCTTTCCTTTTGGTCCACTTTTATAAGGGTTAGAAAATGCAAAAGGCATTCCTTTCCTTTCCTCACATTTTTATGAAACAAACAGACCCTTTATTGACAACATTTCTTTCTTTTTCTTAAATTCTCTCTATGTACAGAGCAAATCAATGGCGATCAAGTCCTTCATTTACAACCCTGTCCAAACCCGCCACACTAGCATCGTTCTTCGATCAGCAATTGCGTCGAGACTCATCCTCATAACCCTAATCATCCTATGGAGGTCTCTCTTTAGCCCCTACGACACCTCCGCATCCATAAACCCTAATTGCCTATCTTCCAACACCACCACCAACCACCCCATTCGCTTCCCTCACATCGCCTCCTCAATCGAGGACGGTATCGTATGGGACAGTGTGTACTTTGTACGCATCGCACAATGTGGATATGAATACGAACGGTCTTACGCGTTCTTGCCTCTTCTTCCCATTTGCATTTCTTTGTTGTCTCGAACAGGTTGGTTAATTCACTTCTTTTAGCTATCAAGACTTAATATTTTGTTGTTAATTTGGTATTAATTGGTGGGTTTTGTAAAAAATTATGATTTTTGTTCCAGTTTTTGAGCCATTGATTCCACTTATTGGACATAGAGCTGTGCTGGGATTATCTGGCTATGTACTCAATAACACTGCGTTTGTTTTTGCTGCTCTTTGTCTTTACAGGTAAGTGTCTTGATAATTGTTTTCATATATATGTGTGTGTTTATGTATACACATGAACTTTGTTGGGAGCTCTGTAAAATTAAAGACTGAGTTATTGTTTCACTCAATAGTGAAGTAGAATGGCTTACAATGCAATAATACTGCAAATTTAGGAGAAAATTCAGATACGGGGACCCTATGATGAATGCATAAAGTATTTAACTCAACAAAGGCTTACTATTATGTTAGACCTTGTTTGACAATAATTTTTTTTGAAAGGTTGTTTAACAATAATTTGATTGCAATCTAAAATCAATTAAATATTATCAAGGCTGAAAATTTCATGAGGTAACTACTTGTTTTATAAATATGTATAGCAAAATCATAAACTCATGGAGGATATACTTTTACATGTTCATGTATATGTGTGTTTGTATATGGTGGTGGAGCCACCTTATGCCCAGTGGGGGCAGCTGCTCCTAGTCATTTTTTTTTTTTTTTATAAATTTTATATTCATATATTACTATAAATATAAAGTTGCTTCCATATATATATATTAGTTCCCTCGAAAGGAATGTGATATCACACTTCATTTTATTTTCTCATAAAATAAATGACACAATTACCTCTTAAAAGTGGAGCTTAACAACAGTATTCCTCAGGACAATGTGAACTACGAGAGTAGTTTTGAAGGACAATTGTTTCTTTCTAAAATGTAGTAATGCAAGAGTACTTTTGTGGAGTGAGAATATCATTTCCCCATCATAATATTTAAAGAATTTTAGTTTATTTTACTTTTGTTATAAATCAGCTCCCACTAGAATAAATTCCTAGTTCCTCCGTGTATATATGTTCACATGCTTTGAATTTCTAACTTCTTGTTTCTGACTCTCTCTCTTTTACAGGCTTTCGCTTATTATTTTGAAGGACCCAGATTCAGCCTTGCGAGCATCAATTTTATTTTGCTTCAATCCAGCTTCAACATTCTACTCATCAATGTATTCTTTACACCTCTCATTGCATTTTGTTGAATTGAAAAATGGTAATACTGAATATGAAATTCTTTTTTGAATATGCAGATATTCTGAGAGTCTGTATTCCCTGTTATCTATTGGAGGATTATATTATCTAATGTCTGGTAAAATTAATTTTGCAACTCTTTGTCTTGCTCTCTCTGGATCTGCAAGGTCAAATGGGGTGCTTAATGCGGGATATATTTGTTTTCAGACTATGCATCAGGCTTATGATGCTATCTTCCTCCAAAAGCATGCTTTTGTAAGTTTTTATTTTATTCAGTTAACAATGTTTTAATTACAAACTTACTTATCAAAAAAATGTTTTAATTACAAGCTTACAATTTATTATACTTTGTGTTTAACTGGAAACTATCCATTTCGAAGCCAAACAAGTGTTGCTATTCATCTCAGCAATAATCTGCAAATGCTTAATCTCATTTCTAAACACCTAGTGTGTGGCCTGCACAATATGCATGGAGGCTGAGATGTACATGATGGTTATGATACGGAACTGAATCTGGCCACTTACAAACTGAGAGTTCCACGTGGTTGGTATCCAGTAGCATCCCCTCTTCCCTTAGTTTGCCTTTTACTCCCATTAAATGTATAAGTTGGGGCAATTGATGTTAACTGAGATACTTTACCATTTTACATTAGAAATCATTATATATATTTTTTACAAGTAGAAATCATTATTTTTGCTTTATTGAAAGAAATCACTTTCCCTGCTTGATAATTTTTTCTACATCTACATTCACATGGAACTAGTATACTCGATTTTGAGGAGGCATTTAAAATTCGAGGAAGCGATATTATTTCGAATAAGTAAGATGCATGCAATCAGATGGCGAGAAGATGGGGATTTTGCGGGGATATAAAGATATGTATGCATTTTGGCACAAACTAATTATTGATACTTTTGAGAATTTAGATGTGATTGTTTCCTATCTAATACTCCCTCCGTCCCAATTCAGTTGTCCATCCTTCCTTTTTGGGTTGTCCCAAAGTACTTGTCCACTTGAAAAGTTCAAACAACACATTTCATATCTTTCCCTAAAATACCCTGGAAGTTTTAAAAAATTTCAAACTTGATTATATATATATATATATATATATATATATTCAATCTTAAAAGGAAAACTTAGTAATTCTACTCCCCAAAAGGGACATCTAATATGGGACAGAGGAAGTAGTAATTTAATTACATGTAGTAAGTTATACATGATAGTATATTATAGTAATTGTAGAAGAATCTTGTTGAAAAACAAAAGATTGAAGAGAGTATATAACATGGTTTGGCTATTGCAGCCTACATCTGCGGCACACAAAGCCCAAAGGGCTACATTTCTTTCATTTTATTCTCTCTTAATTTTGTTTACAATGATCACTTCTATTCATAGTTGAAAGAATACAAACATGTGATAAATATGAAAATTATATTGATAGAAATATGTTTTAAAATCAATCTCGTGAATCACTCCAATTAATATTCTATCAAAGGCTTAATCACTCCTATCAATATTCAATCAAGGGCTAAAATAGCTCCTATAACGAAGGATGCAGTCCCTGTTTGAACGCTTTTTATACAATCTTTACTTATCAAAAAAAAAAAAAAAAAAAAAAAAAAAAACTCCTATAATTACATTCTCCAATAAATCTATTAAGAGGCTAGAGCCCATTGATAGAAGATAATTAATTGAATACTACAAGTTTTTAGAATTTTTATGCAATCTTTACTTATCAAAAAAAAAAAACTCCTATAATTACATTCTCCAATAAATCTATTAGGAGGCTAGAGCCCATTGATAGAAGATAATTAATTGAATACTACAAGTTTTTAGAATTTTTTATTTTCTTAAGCGATGTAAAATTCACACTCAACTTTTTACCCTTATCCGCTTCGTTCATCTTCTTCTTTCTTACGGAATACCAAGTCTGGAGACAAAACATTTACTCCATGCCTCTCTCTCTCTTTGGTTCTATTAGAACTACATCCATATATCCAGTCTTAGTCAAAATCATCTTAAAACTTCTACAATTTGAAGAATATTTTGCAACGTCAAGTTTTCACCATTGCCAACACATGCATCCTTTAAAATTTTAGATATGGTATTCTTCTTCTTCTTCTTCTTCTTCTTCTTATTAATTTCCTTTGGCAGTTGGCAGTCAAGGTTCTTACTGCTGGAGCTTTGCGTTGTCTGTGTATTTTTGTTCCGTTTATTGCTTTTCAAGCATATGGATACTACAATATGTGTCTTGGACATTTTCCAGATGAACTGAGGGCTTGGTGCAAGGCAAGACTTCCTTTACTATACAACTATATTCAAAGTCATTATTGGTATGTTATTGGTAATTCTTTTATCAGTTAATTTCCTTTTTTAATCCGTTTCTATTATAAATACTGTGTTCTGATAGAGATATGATATTGTATTTGCAAATGTTCGTTCAATCTCAAGGTGGTTTAGATTAGTAGGAGATTGTGACGTCTGATATCCCGTGAATAATTACTCTGGGTCTACATTTGAGTATTACTTGCTTTGTTGACCTTGTTGAGTTTTTTTTATTAACTTTCACTGTTCATGGATGGAAAAGGGAACTAGATTCATGTACAAATCATGTTTTCTTCTAGTAGTTAGATTGTTTTATAAAAAATGAAAGTGTAGAAGATGTGGATTTGTTTTTCAAATATTGATAGTTTCTTTTTATTTCAGGGGAATGGGTTTATTGAGATATTTCCAACTAAAACAGTTGCCAAATTTCCTGCTCGCATCTCCCATACTGTCTTTAGTGCTTTGCTCAATCATCCATTATGTGAAGTTGCAGCCTGAAATTTTTTTCTCACTTGGTTTTCTAGCTTCTCCTGAGGATAAAACCTCTTCTGCTGTGCTTATTTCTTCGGGGGTGGATGCAAGATCAAACAGCACTTACTTTTCAGGGAAACTTTCTTCCAAAATACAGAGAGGTATGAATTTTGAACACAATTTGTCTTTTCACTTACCTGTTGATACTTATACACCCTGTTTGTCTGGAAGGCAAAAATATAATGTTGTACTGAAGCGCTTGGTGGGTAACCAATCATCACACTCTTCATTGATCGAACCACTTAGTTCATCATTTTTGCATGGATTTAATTCTTCACATTGCAAGTGGCTGAACTGTAAAGAATAATTTGGGCACTGGTTGAACTAGATTATTTTTATCCTGTACTTTTCAGTTTGTCATTTATTCCTTATAGTAGTGCATGTACCATGATGCTATCATGAATAACATTTTCATGTTGGAAGTATCCAAGTCTGCTGTCCATTATTTTATCACCTACTATAATGTTTCCTTTATTTTCTCCAGTGCAATCATTTCAATTTTCTTGATTTGAGATTACATACAAGAATACCATCTAAGAAATTAATTTTGTGGAAACATCAATTGATAGATATGAAAGTGACATTGAATTTGCTTAACTGGCGGATTCCCTGTGCAATGTTACTTCCGAGTTGTATCAGTTAGAATTCTTCTCTTCTGGTTTGATAGAAGATACTTGCGGATATTTTTATTTTCAGCGGTATATCTAATTTCAGGTTTGGGAGAAAATTTGATGGGTATGTAGGATCATGGCCTTTTTGTTTGATTTGGTATTTTATAAAGTGGTGAGTTTTTTAAATTTTGGAGCAATTCGGAGGGTCTATGTTGAAGTGGTTGATAGGTATCGACATAACATTATGTGTTTTTCCCCATACACCTAACCTATGTGATTTTTATTTCAGTCGAGTGCATGAGTTAGCTAGTGCCTATCCTTTCCTTTTTGTTTATAGTTTATTAGAGATGATAGGCAACACTAGGAAGTACAAAGTGTAAAACACCAATTAGTTGCCAAGAAAAACTTGGAATCTTATGACTGACTTTCTGATCGTATACCACCCTTCCCCTATCGACTTCCCCAAGCCAAATCTGTTATAATATGCCAAGTTTTCATTTATTTTAGGGTAAAATGCAATAAACCCCCCCGATTTATTGGCATTTTGCAACAACCCCACCCTGATTTATTGGCATTTTGCAACAAACCCTCTTGAACTACACCACCCCCACCCCAAACTATTAATTTGTTACAAGAAATCCCCTAAACTATTGATATGTTGCATTCTGGTAGGTGACTTGGTCAGAAATATTAAAAGATTAGTTTACCCTTAATTAAAACTACTTAGTTTTGAGAGTTATACCCTTAATTGATGACGTGGCAGTTGATAATTTCATAACCAATCAAAATGACAACAACCGCCAACTTTAATCTTCAAAAAAAAAAAAAAAAAACTTTTGGGAAAAGGATAACAGGCTTGTACACCCAAGCACAGCCTTATGCCCTCTGTCACTGTTCATCTTCTTCCATACACATAGTATCAGGGTGTGGTTGGGGTGTTTAAAAGGTGTTTGGGTTTAATAGTTACAATAAGGGGCATTAGTGTCTTTTCAAATTCACAAGGGTATTATGGTCATTAAAATTATAGTGTATGTCATGACTGTCACGTAGTCACTGTTCCGGCAAGATCCGACCGGAACAATAATGGACGGGGCTATCTGCAATAAAATGCATAGTTCAGGGGGTTAGTTGCAACTTTAGTAGTTCAAGGGGTTAGTTGCTGATTCCTCAATAGTTCAGGGTTTTTTATTTTTTTAACCCTTTATTTTATTCCAAGCTTTAAATATTTTTTTATTTATTATCTTGGAAATCAAATTAAGGACAAGAAAAAAAACCTGAAAACTATCTGCAAAGATGGAAGAAAAGGAAAAAGAAATGAAAACTAAGGAATCATAAGTTTTCTCTTTGATTCATACGCAAGGTTTGGGAATTGGAAGGCTTAGTTATTCAATGAAATGTCTTTAGGAAAGCTATGCCTTGGCATGATAAACTTTAGAGGAGGGTAGGGATCACAATATTTGGGGATTATAGGGATGACTGGACTTCTTTTCTGGAGTGGTGAACACTCCTTATGGAGCATTGTTTAAATGGAGAAAGCACAAGGCAAGGTGGAAAACATGAGGCACTGGATCATAAGCTTTTTAAGTTTTGAATTTTATATTTTTAAACATAGATTAATATATCAAAAAATAGTAAAAGCAGGGTAAAATAGCACATAAAAAGTAAGCACCAGAAAAGATATATCACGTGTAAATGTGCTCGGAAGATATTTAGGGCATTTTAGGTCTACTAAAATGGTTGATAAGAGAATAAGTGATAAACAAAAACCACATAACATGATATATAACTAATAACTACCCATAAAAGAAGTGATTGTGATACACAAAAACTATAACTTGTCCTCAACGGTTCATTACTTAAATTCAGAAAGACCTTTTTATAAAATTTACATAACAAGTTAACAACCTAACAAACTTAGCAAATAAGATCACTCTAAATCTTCCTTGTCTATATTGGCATCTTCCATCAACATATCTAGGAGAGGGTTGTTCCACCTTATAATCCCTCCACTTCCTGTAACTCCTCATCTTCTAGGATAGGGGATCATTCTAGCTTCCTTGCTATTGGCTTTACTTAATAAGTAAGGTTAAAACTCAAGGTTAGGAGGCAAATAAAAAATTAGTTTGGAGTCTGTAATTACTCCAGTTCCTCGATTAACAAGGACAATACTAGGTAATGACCCTTAAAAGTCTGTTATTATGCTTCTCTTTTAGTCAAGTGTCGCTCCATAGCAAACTAGAACATTCAATCATTGGTGGTCAAGCCTATTCCTCCTTTTTGTATAAAAATATAGATCTACCAATAACATAAAAAGATAATATATAAACATTACACATTGTTTACACATGCACATTGACACTCGTTTTAAAGAATTGGAGGACATAAGTAACTTATAACCGATACTATTACTGCCTAAAAGGTACTCCTGCTCCCTCGCAACAAGTAATACTACACACGAGACTGAGCACTCATATGGGAAACTTGATCAACTCTTGTCTTATCTTACCCTTAAGCACATCCACTAATCAGCTGAAAAAATAAAAAGAGCACATCCACTGATCAACTTTGTGCAGAAAAGGGGTGCCTGATCCCTTCCCATTTTGCAACTTAGTTCCCAAATGTAGATGTTTATATTAGCAAATAATGCACTTCTCTGGATGGAGTTGTTTTGTAATTTATGGTCTTTACATTGTGACTAGGATCAATGTCACGTGTTTTTCAATTATTCTTATTTCCTAGTTATTTGTATTTAGGACCAAAGACATGGAAGGACTTTGGGTTTGCTGATCTTTTAAAAAAATGGGATGGCATCCGACATCCGCACCTACATTTCTAGCAGGGTCATTCCCCCGTGAGAGTGCACTCCCTTGTGAGGATCAGGGCTTGCAGGACCCTGGTGGTCACGAACACTAACTCCAAGTTTAAGCTGTTCATATTTTGAAATGCATAATTCTTCCATTTTGTTTGGCTGCAACATACACAGAACAATCTCATTTGATTATTTGATTTGTAGCAGAAGATCAAGTTCTTAGACGGCGTAAAAAATCGACCAAAGGAGTGGATCCTATTACTTCTCCATTAGAAAATAATTCGTCATATAAGCCCAAGCACTCGTCAATTCTTCTTCTTCCATTTGTTCTGCACTTGGGATTCATGGCAGCCACAGCATTTTTTGTCATGCATGTGCAGGTACTTTCAGTTCACCATATTTTATGTTATGTAAAGCAGTTTGTGTGTAAAATTTGAATGGACTTCCTTAAATTGAAGTTGGAGTTCATTGAAATACACTAGTTTATGACACCGGATGGATTTGACAGGTTTCGACACGTTTCTTATCAGCCAGCCCTCCTCTCTATTGGTACGCGTCATACTTGGTGGTATCTCCTTGCAATGGCAAGAGATGGGGACATCTGATTTGGGCATACTGTGCTGCCTACATCCTTATAGGCAGTTTGCTCTTCTCAAACTTCTATCCTTTCACCTGAGATGCCTTTGGTAATATCTCTTTGCCGTTTTGCCTGAAAGTGCTTGTCAAATTCTTCACTCCGGTCCCTAGCAGCGGTTTTCAAACACTCACTTCTCCGTGCTGTTGGAACATTTTATGGTAGGTTGAGTTCACATGGCACTGGATGAGCACTAAAGTTCAACAAGATTTGGGATTTTTACCGCTAGAGATAGGAGTCTAGTTATTGCCCCAAAAATGTGCAGTTTTTTTTACGGGTGAGTAGCAAGAATTGCCATGCCCCTCCTATGTGAAGCACATAGCGCACTCCCCGCTTTTGTTGCTTGTCAATTTACAATTTCTGATGGATGTAGATTGTTTTTGTTTTTGCACTGCTGTCTGGTTTTATTTGTAAACTGCTTAGTGCTTATATAAAAATGGTTTTGGGTTGTCTGTGCAATTGACTTTTTTTTTTTTAGTTAGTTATTTATTTTTTTAAAAATTCGTTTTGAAACCTTGACATGTTGCTTGAAAGTTAAGACCAAAGTCACCAAGGCAATTTTTTTTATTTATTTATATTATTTTTCATTGTCAAGAAACTCTAGCACTCAAATCATTATGCATATGACAATGTAAAAATATAAGTGCTCAGACAAACGTATTTAAATAATAGCAAGAATTTAAAGGGTAAGGACATTTCCTTGTAATTTTGAGGTCACACAAGTTCTTCTGGTTAGCCAAAATGAAAGAAAAAAAACATTTGACTTTTTGAAGGCACTCGATTTTTTTTTTTTTTAAAAAGAAAATTTGAAGAAGCCACATGTAATTTTCTTTTTTCAAACTCATCATTAATAATTATGAAGAGGTATCCAGAACACAAGGCTTTCAAAAACATATTAGCGAAGCATTATTCAGTAGTCTAGTTGGTAGAACAACTTCTCGAATGGGTGAGTCCACGTTCGAGTCCTCCTTTCCCTAGTTTGCCAGGAAAAAAGAAATATATATATGAGAGGACTTAAAATTAGACTCATCTGAACTTTGCGAAAAATCAAGTTGGATTCAGATTCGCCGCGCAAATTACAATCAACTGACATAAACACTTGCCATTGGACTATTTAAAAGTGTTTTTATTTTAAAATGTTGCTTTTAAATGTGTTTGGTAACCATTACAAACATTGTTACTATTATCAATTTTAGCTCAGTAGAACCGCAAATTAGAGGATAATCTACAATAAACTCACATAATAGTAGGAGTGCGTCTGGGATTGCTATTAAATCATTTAAAAGCGCTTTTATTTTAAAATTTTGTTTCCAAATGTGTTTGATAACCATTAAAAACATTGTCACCTTTACCAATTTTACCTTAGTAGAACCTTTGGATGAAGCTAAATTTTTTTAGCTTTTAAAATTATGCTTTTAAGTATAGATTATATTTTGGGTAAGTGTTTTTCATCACATATGTTTTTCATTTCTTATAAAGACATTTCATTTTTTATAAAGACATTTCCATGCATTCTTTAATAAAATTATCTTATTAGTAAATATAGTAACATTTTATTGAAGGGCATTATTGCAAAATATATACCTATAAAGCGTAAGGTGCTTTTTCTTTTTCTAAACATTATTTATTTAATTTTTTAAATCATAATTTGATATTTAAAAATATATTTAATAGAGAATTTAAAGATGATATATCTGCATCTATATCTATATATTTTTAAAAGGGTTAAAATTATGAAACTCCCATGTACCATTCCAAAACAGCCTCGTAACCCCATACTAGAAAAACTATCTAAAAACTTCATTACTTTTTAAAAATCCATCATGTCACCCCCATTCCGTTTGTTTGCTGTTAAAAAGTAACTGAATGCCAACCTTTTAAATGATATATGATCAAAATGCCCTTTTAATCCCTTAATGACCAAGATGTTAGGGTTAAAATTATTAAACCCCCTTCTACTATCCAATTTGATCAATCACATAACCCGTGTGCTAACAAAAGTGGTGGTCATATTAACACCATCCTCAAACATTTTCTTAAAATGGTGTTTAAAAAAAAATATTTAGAATTATATATTAATCTCCATTGCTAAGTCTTGGGGTATTCAAAGGAATGAAAACTAAGACATTATGAGTGCGTGATGACAAGAATACCAACAACAATAATGATACTATATATGTTAATATTTTTAATTGTAAATGAAATTTTCAAAGATATTATATATGTTAATATTTTCAACTATAACTAAAAATTTTCATAACTACTATTTGTATAAAATACTAAAGTATTTCTTTATTTTAATCATTATTATCGTGTTTTGTTAAACTTTTTGAGATTTGTTTAAATAGATTTAAAAAAAAAAAAAAAAATCATCAAGGTAATAAAGAGATATCTTTATGAAAATCAAAATTCATGGCTCCACCCCTGAATGCAAAAGGTTTAATGGATTTGATTTGAAATTTAAAAGGGCATGTTGGTCATTAAGGGGTTAAATGGGCATTATGGTCATATATTATTTTCAAAGTTGGCACGTATTGGCAAACAAAAGGATTGGGGTTGATATGATGAATTTTTAAAAGGTAGTGGAGATTTTAAATATTTTTTTTAGTACATGGGGTTATATGACTGATTTTGGAAAAGTACAGTAGAGTTTTAACTCAATTTTGTCATTTCATAAATCAGTTAACAGTTCAGAATAGCGGTTGAAAAGCAAAAAACATCTGTTGATTCATTGTAATGGGAGATGCTACATTAGGCAAGTCAGAGAGGGAGGTTGACTGTATTCTTAAAGCTTGATGATCAGAATTTCACGGCGCCTTATTATCTATTAGAGAGCAGATTTCTTTGTCAACAACTGATCCTTGTCCATGGTTAAAGCCAACACCCAAGATCATGGTTCAAACTCAAAGGAGGGGATGACAGTTTTCTTACTCGAAGATAAGAGATGATCCTGGTTTATCAGGATCCATTTCAGCATGGGTGGAATTAATTATTACCAAGATCTTGCAGAGTCAGAGTAGCACAAATAATAATAAATCATTCAACTAAATGCATGCATGATTAATATTAGTGCTTCACAAAATCTCTCTAAGCATTTTGTGACAAAATCGAACAAATACTTGTCAAAGAAAATACTTAAGATCATAAAATTACAGGGGAAAAAAATTGGTTCATAAAGACCTAATTCTAAAAGGTTGTGGAATCAGACACAGCACATGGTGGAAATGAGAGCAAGTAAAAAGAACAGGGGATTTTCTACAATTGATATGTTCCCCCCTTACTTTTATAACCTTTGCCGTATAATTTTGAAAGGTCCAATTTTTCTTGGTATAGTTTCAACAACTGAGGAGCTTCCTCATAACAGGTCACAAACTTCTTGAGGAACAAACTCTCTATCGACACCAACAATGTATTTGTGCTAATGGGTTCCTTAACCAAACCTTTTGACAACAAAACTTGAAGTACCGAACACTGGGGAATTATCCTCTTACCCAAGCTGTATGACATTAATTTTGGACCACGGGCAATTAGGGAAGACTTCCAATCCATTGTGTTGACATAAAAATCCAGCACTGCCATTATCTTCTCCTCGGATACCATCATACACCACGGACATTCTGTAAAAGCCAAGATTGTTTCTTCCTCAGACCAACCCCACTTCTCATAAACCTCCATCTTCCTTTTCCATGTTGCTTTGCTCATTGAGGTCAATGCCTTAATGGCTATAACAAAATGGGCTTGTGAAGGGTAGAAACCCAATTTCTTAACATCCTCCACTACCTCATTCAATCTGTCAGGGTTTGTGTTGAGTGACATAAACGGAGTAGAAATTAAGTAGACAATGTTCGAATCTGTCACGCCGTGTTGCCTCAAAATTTCAATGTTAGAGAAAGTATTAGCACTGCTACTCTCTACAAGACTAGGATATCGTTTAAAGGCGGTGATAAACTTATGATGTGAATCAAATAAATTGATGAAGAAAGTGAAAGATGGGATGATATGGTTCGCCAAGATGAATGATATGACTTCACTTTCTATTTTAACCTAATACCAAATTTTAACACAAAATCAATGATTTGGGCTGGGCTTGACGTCTTTATGGACCAAACTGGACTAGTAGTTTAGGCCCACTGTCACTCATTTGGAATTGGGTGTACTTTATTGAGATGATACTTAATTTGATTTATTTTTATTGTTACTTCATTAGACCAAACTGGACTATTAGTTTAGGCCCAGCTAAGCATCTGCCAGGCCCAAGGCCTCGTTGTTGTACAACTTTCCAACTTTGTCTTGGTACATGCATACATATAGTCGTACGGCTAGAAATTAAATTTTCCATGTTGCTTTGTTCATTGAGGTCAATGCATTAATTGCTATAACAAACACGGCTTGTGAACTCACCTGATTGCTAATCTTGGGGTACTCTTGAACCACCATACACCACAATCTAATCCTTCTCTAGGGCTCGTGATGATGATGAGTTCACTTTGGCTGAAGCAAGCTCAAGGCAGTAGGGTTCTGGCTCCTATACTTTTCAACTTCTCATCAATCCAGTGCCAATTCTATTTGGCAACACTGACATCATTATGCGTATGACAATGTAAAATTGTAAGTGCTCAGACATATGTATTTAAATCATAACAAGAATTTGAAGCGTAAGGACATTTGTAGCAAGAATTTGAAGGGTAAGGACATTTCCTCGTAATTTTTTTCTGGTTGAACCAAAATGAGAAATGAGAAAGAAAAAAAAAAAAAACATATGACTTTTTCTGAAGTCACGCTATTTTTTTTTTTTTTTTTTTTGAAAAGAAAATTTCAAGAAGCCAAATGTAATTTTATTTTTTCAAACTCACCATTAATAATTATGAAGAGTCATAACACAAGGTTTTTCAAAAATATGTTAGAAGGGTATTATCCAGTAGTCTAGTTGGTATTCATAACACAAGGTTTTTCAAAAACATGTGAGAGAGGCATTATCCAGTAATCCAAATAGACCCTTAAAAAATTAAAAAAGACGAGATAGCCCTTCAAAAAAATATTAACTTTTATCCAAATAAAAAAAAAGAAAAAAGATTTAAAATCATAAAACCCTAGTATTTTCAAAATTTGATCATAAAACCCTGATATGTTTCAGAAAACCCCTATACTTTAAAAACCCCTATACTTTAAAAAAGTGATCACATTACCTCAATATCCATATCCGACCGGTTAACCGGGTTATGAAATTACTTATTTGACTTTACTATTTAATGTTATATTAAAAACTAATTTTTTTAAAATTACAAAAATACCCTTTAAAATAAAAAAAATTATGTTTGAGAGAGAGAGAGATTGGGGAGAGTTTTAGAGAGAGAAAGGGGGTGAAAAGAAGATTAAATGGTATTTTAATAATTTTTAAAAATAATTTTTTATTTTTAATTTAACATTAAATAGTAAGATTAAAGTTGTCATTTATAGCTCGATTAATGGATCAGACACGAGGGTCTGAATCATTAGCAGGGTTCTTACTCGAATTCGAGGTCATTCAAAGGCACTGAGGGCATTCTTGCAATCCCAATATAATTAATACATCATAGTGCATGTGGACATCATTAGATAGGTTGGGTTTGGACAAAATGGGAAATAAAAAGAAAATGAAAGAACAAGAGGAATCGGTTGATGTGTGTAGACCACACGTCGATCGGTTCCTGGGGCTTGAAAAAGTGAAAATGCCCTTTGCTCAAAATAAATGAGATACCGGTCAACATGAAATGCCCACGCGTCCACTGGTTCTGCCCAGTTTTGTGATTTTGGTTCCTTTAAGTGCCTTTGGCACTTGGCATCTGTGATACCCCCTAATTTCGGAACACGGGTTGGTCAAGTCCTTGCACAAAATCAGGGGACATCAAAACAATTAAAGTATTTCAAACAAGCATAGAGTACAAAATGAAATAAAAGAATAAATAATACGCTGAAGAAAAACTAATAAATAAAAATTAATTATTGATTCTCCAACAATTCAATCAATAATTAAGCACACACACAACAATCATCATATCAATCATTCACGAAATATAAATAAAATAAAACAATTAATCTAAGCACTCAATAAAACAAATCAATTAAAAATTAAAATAAACAAAATTAATTCAAATTAAATCAACTAAATCATTTAAAAATAAAATAAAAGTAATTAATTCCAATTAATAAATCCTATAAATCCTTTAAAATATCGGAGTATTACATTCTTCTCTTCTAACAAAAGGAATTCTATCCTCGGAATTCACGAATCCATGAAATGAAAACTTTGATTATTTAATTTCAAATTTCATTATTCCTTTTATCCGTGTGGAAATTAATCCATCCACACATATTCATAATTAGTAGACACATCTCGTAATTAGCTAATTCCATATTTATATAATTGATAAATATAAGTGAGGAGGCCTGAGATGACATGGGCCGGATATGACTTGCAAACGCGACATTCGGTCCGTACAGATGGGTCAGGCCCATAGAAAGACACTGCCATATGGGCCGAACACGAATAGCCCATCAAAGATAACCAGAACTCATAGAGGAATGGGCCTAGATCCAGCAGCCCATCAACATTTGTAAATATCTATAAATAGGAGAAGTAATGGATAGAGGAGAGGAGATATTTTTTGGTTGAAATGCAAGAATTCTAGAGAGAGAAAGAGAGGAGGAATTTCTTGCATCTTCAATTGGCGCCGTCTGTGGGAAAGCGGGAAGAGAAGGAGAAGCTGAAGCTGAAGCAGAAGCAGAGGCACCAGCTGCAACAGGCCCGGAGGTGGCAGGAGCTCTGACTGGGCGATGCAAGAGAGCACTCGGCCCAGAGACTCGGGTCCTTCTGATAAGAGGTTCCTCCTCAGGGTCAACTCCACCGTCAGGATGAGGCCTTTTGCCTCGTTCTTTGTCCCGAGCGCCCCCAGCGGCAGCAGGGGCAGTAGTGACTTGTGGAGACGCGCTCGGGTTGGTAGCAGGGATGCTGACAACAGGATCAATAGCCACTGTACTCGGGATGGTGTCAGAGATGGTGGCTGAGGAAGAGGCTGATGTAGGAGAGGAGGTTGCTCCAGCAGCAGAAGTGGCTGGGGGAGTATTTTTCCTCCTACCAAAGAATGGAATCTGAAGCCTGCTCATGGTATAGCCGAGGGATGAGAGCGCTAGAAGGTTGTCTGAAGTGAGGAGGTCTGAGCAAGAAGGAATATCGTTCAGAACGTATTTCTTCAAGTAATTACTCCTATCCCTGCAAACACTGTAGCTCAAGTCATCACAAGGTATACCTAAAGAGCGACATAAGAAAGTATAAAAGCGAGGAACGCATGTTTCGCAGGGACAATCATTTTTATGAGATTTGAATTTCTTATATGAGGAAACAGAACAGACGCCAAAGGCACTCGGGATTGGGTAATCCTCTGCAGCCGGCGAAGACCAGGCCCCACTGATGCCCACAATGTTATCCCTCCAACCCTTTTCAGATTTGATTGTATCCGTACATATGGACATCTTGTCGATCGGGTAGAGGTGGTAGAATGGCTCGTTAGTTCGGATCTTACTGACCTTATAACACAGAAGAAGATCTATGAGGTCAAGGTCCAGACTTCTGTCACGAATCAACAGTAGCATAACGGATATGATTCTAAAAAAATTGGGGTTTACCTGCAGGGGGGATATCCCCAGTCTATTGAAGACATAATTAAAGAAGGGGTGCAGAGAGAACCTAACGACATTCAGTTGAAGGTTTGAAAATAAAACTTCGCCGGGAAGAAGGCCGGCACCGGTCATAATATTAACATCCTTAGGGCAAACCCTAACTTGGATGTTGTCAGGAAGTCTAAGTCTCATACGAAGAACATCTAGATCTACAACCATGGTGGAAGTGATTGAAGGATCTAAAAGGGTAAAGAGAAGCCTGCCGAAAGTAAAAAAGAACAAAACTAACCTCTGAGGTAGAAAGCAACAAAGAGCACTGCAAGACCGCTAGAAGAATGACTCTTGAAGGATTTCACCTGGAGAAATTTAGTACTGTTCTAAAAAGACGAACGAGAGATTTGACTGATGATGAAGACGGTAAAAAGGCATGAAGTGGTATTCTAGAGCCTTATAAAGGCGAGGGGGACCCGAGGGCCGAAGCGTCAGGAAGGCGAGAAATTCATCGAGCCCCGGAACATTGATTCTGGATCTGACCGTCCGTTCCCCCATGTGGGTTTCTCGAGCCGTCAACGTCATGATGAGACGCCTTCAATAATTACCCCCTTATTAAACAAGGGGTAATTATGGGGGCAGTTGAGGAGGCCCGAGATGACATGGGCCGGATATGACTTGCAAACGCGACATCCGGTCCGTACAGATGGGTCAGGCCCATAGAAAGACACTGCCATATGGGCCGAACACGAATAACCCATCAAAGATGACCAGAACTCATAGAGGAATGGGCCTAGATCCAGCAGCCCATCAACATTTGTAAATATCTATAAATAGGAGAAGTAATGGATAGAGGAGAGGAGATATTTTTTGGTTGAAATGCAAGAATTCTAGAGAGAGAAAGAGAGGAGGAATTTCTTGCATCTTCAATAAGTACACGCTAGAAACTCTCACTGGACTAAAGCAGTCCCAACCGGATAGTGGGTATCTCATGTAAAACGCACACAAAGGTGGTCACGAGTCCTCCGTCTACCAGGGCCCACACATCCTTAAATCTAGCTACCCATCTTAATTGGCAATATACGCCTCCATCCTAACCACTGATCTGAGAGTCAAGCTCATATCGTAGTATATATCTATACATGTATAAAATCCATTCTATCCAACCATGTTATTTCAGTGGCATTCCATCCAACTATTCCGTTGACCTAACACGAATAAGTAGGACTTAACTCTATGGTTAATCCGTTCCCTTATAAATATATAGGTAGGACTTAACTTTTTCGGTTAATTCGTTCCTAGAATGCCACCGTCCCATACCGGTGCATTAAACCATACAATCCATAAATAAATAGGTAAGACTTAACTTTTTCATTAATCCGACCCTAAAATACCTCCATATTATATTAATGGTGCATAAATCTATAAAACCCACAATGCATACAACATATATAATTATACATCAAATAAACCAAAAGTAAGAATAATATAAATCCGATAAATACATGATTTTATTATATGCCAATACATGATTAAAATCACATAAATATAAATTGAAATTGCTTGAATAATATTAAGCAACTAAATCCTTCATCCACAACATGTAAGTTAATTAAAATTTCATATTTTTCAAGTCCTTAGCATATTAATATATATTATGCATTCTGAGATTTTAACCAGTCTATTTCAATCATTTAAATCACCTAATTTGATCTAAATAACCTTGGAACACCCCAATCCTCAAAACAGAACTTAAAAACCAATTCTGCAACTACATTCATCCTCCCTGA